CTTATTCACATTCGTTTTACACTTATTCACATTCGTTTTACACTTATTCACATTCGTTTTACACTTATTCACATTCGTTTTACACTTATTCACACTTGTTTTACACTTATTCACACTCGTTTTACACTTATTCACAGTCGTTTCACACTCAACTATCAATTGATTTCACAATCTTTGATTGTACGTAATTCATTCAACATAGTGGATTGTATTCTGAGCATGTTTGAATGACTTATTATTCATGCGTTCTCATTGTTTTTATTTATTCTGCTCTAAGAAATCATTATTTTGTGTGCATGGATATATCACTAAGCTAATGTTAAGGTATGGTTTGCTTAGTACAAACGAAGAAGACGAAAATACTACACACTTTCTTCAGGCACGTCCAGTCATTCGAAAAGAATGAACAGATTAAAGCACGTTCAGTTCAATTGTAGGAGTCAGAATCCGATCCTGGACGAGCAATTAGTGATTGTGAGATTTCCAGGGAGCGTCTATTCTATGCACTCCAGTCTTTATACACTTACGTTCGTCAAAGTGCAAATTACTTAACAAATACAGGAAATAGCATTAGCCATTGCAAAATTGCTCTTTTGATTGATATATTAAAAATAATTGTCTTGCATTGTAACTATGCTTCATGATAATATGAGGTTATTACGAGGATACCTCAAACATATTTCGACTTTTCCACTGATATATCAAGTACTTGTCATCACATTACAATTAAACTTGCTACATGGATGTCATAGAACAATGCATGGACCTAATTATTTTGGGATAAATATCCATTTGTGTTAATTACCTAATTTTCATAATTAATACATTTTTGGCTTTCCCCCTGATATTCCAAGCGCTAATCATTAAATTTCAATACAACTTGCACATAGATGTCATAGGACATTACACAAACCTGGTTTAAATCTGTGTGTATTAATTACCTAATTTTCATAATAATGTTTTGTTTTTTTCATCGATATCTCAAGTTCTAATCACAATTTAATGCAACTTGGTGTATTGACCGTATGTACATTGCACAGACCTTGCTACTTCTACATAAGTTACAACATTACATTAATTACCTGACTTGTATAATAATTAGTCAGTTTTCAGCTTAGTTACCAAGGCTAATTAATTTGTAATATAAGTAATATACTTTTCACACACAGGAGTTCTTTCTGAGCTTTATTTTATTACATCTTAGCAGTTCATAATCAGATACATTAGTAGGAATCATAACAGAATACAAGAAACAGTTATATAAGCTAGTTATAACAGAATTATGTATATGAGGTATGAATATTCAAGGTACATTTTTATTGTTTAATATTCCATGTGCGAAACAATCCAGGAAGCAGATGGATTTAGTATGCTTGTCTTAGTGTGTCTTTTTGATGCCAAAATCCAAAGAACCAAGGAGCGCAGTTTAGGTATTATGTCAGGATTGTTCTTGTTGGAATTTGACGTGCGAGTCCATGAATTCGTCAATCGGTTGTTTTGCTGAGGCGTACTGTCTGTGAGTCGATGTCTTGATGATGATCGGCTAGATGTCCGTTTCAAAGTGTTCAATTTGGCGAGCTAGTAACTTCAATTGTCTCTCTGTAGCCAAACCCGTTACCTCCGAAAGGATATCACCTAAGGTGTTTAGTTTTTGTCGTTGATCATGGAAATTCGAATCTGGTGGTGAGGTTAGTTGAGTGATTTCTATTGCCAGGCTACGAAGGATGTCAGCGTAATTTGTGA